CGTAAATTTGGCACCAGTTCCATTGTCCCGTGGTTGGTATATATGTTACATGTATGTAGTTGATAATTTACCTGGCGTCCCGTAGTTGTGGTACTAGATCTAACGTTACTAATGGTTACCCGTAGTTGTGGTATCAGACCTTAGGTTACTAATGGTTTCCCGTAGTTGTGTTACCAGGCCTAATGTTACTAATGGTTACCCGTAATTGTGGTATCAAGCCTTACGTGACTAAAGGTTCCCCGAAGTTGTGGTATCAAGCCTTACGTCGCTAATGGTTCTCCGTAGTTGTGGTATCAAGGCTTAAGTTACTAAAGGTTCTCCGTAGTTGTGGTATCAAGCCTTACGTAACTAAAGGTTCTCCGTAGTTGTGTTACCAGGCCTAATGTTACTAATGGTTCCCCGTTGTTGTGGTATCAGGCCTTACGTTACTAATGGTGCTTCGTAGTTGTGTTACCAGGCCTAATGTTACTAATGGTTTCCCGTAGTTGTGTTACCAGGCCTAATGTTACTAATGGTTCCCCGTTGTTGTGGTACCAGGCCTAATGTTACTAATGGTTACCCGTAGTTGTGGTACCAGGCCTTACTTTACTAATGTTTCCCCGTAGTTGTGCTTTCAGGCCTAACGTTACCAATATTTCCCCGTAGTTGTGGTACCAGGCCTAACGTTACTAATTGTTTCCCGTAGTTGTTAAGTTATCTGGTTTCCTGTAGTTGGTAAATCTGTTTTGGCCTTACCAATCTACTTGGTTTCCCGTAGTTGTTGTTTCGAATCAAATTTTCTGGCTTTACACAGCTAGGGTATCTGTGTTAACGACAGTTTACTTAGTTGATGTTGCTGTTTGTATTACTCGGGTTGACGTAAGCAAGTCCGCTTCAGCCAGTTATATGGAGACAGTCTGTGGAAATTTAAGAATCTTAATTCATTTTACTAGCCCGCCAATTCCATGTCCTAGTTAGCAGTCGACAGACAGCAGACATATTAATTTGAGTGTGATGGTAAATATCGTGGTGAAGTGTTTACCCGACCTCGTCTACATCCCCCGCACGACCCACTCTCTCACGTACATCATCGATCGGCGGTCGTAAACGGCCAATACTTGTTCCGCGTTGATCATGTGCCGTGATTGAGTGAGCATCGCCTTGCAGCAATGACGTCACGAATTTACGGTAATTGATCCGGCTTTATATCGTTAAGCGACGTCATTGCCTGTGTTGTAATGCGAAACAATGTGACTCATCGCTTCATATGTATAATAGAATTAGTATAGAGAAATCATTTTCTTAATTGGAATAAAGTAACTAAATAATGTAAAGCAGACTGACGTCATCTTGTTTTGATAGATTCAATAACGGGAACTGACCTGCCAGCAGGCATCGGTGTCTCTAAGGGGTCACTATGTCCTTGCGATGTCATTCCTTCCCGGATAGGTCATGCAATCTTTAAGAGCTAACTCGTAATATCTATATAAAATATAGTCAACGACGTATCAAACTTTTACTTTATAAACAAACAGTATACGCACCATACGTGTTGCAACATACAGTGCTTGCGTATAAAGTAAAACTTTGATATAACATATTTCCGATTGATATAACATATTTCAAAACTGATGAATCTTATTGAAGATTAAGTCCACGGCACTTAGCGTACTAGAAAATGTAAGTACAACTCGCAACATACCCCTATCAAACTGGATTAATATATGTTGCGAAATTATATTTTAAGTTTCAGCGACCTTCACCTTTGGTTCAATCACGGCAATATATATGCACTTGTCCACGGCATATCCAAAGGTTAACATATCGAAACACTTCAGAAGGAAACTCTAATCTAAGATACAGTAACCTTGACCTTCTTGTCGACCATATTTGCAATAGCACTTACAATGACCTATACTTCGATCAATCACGTGTCATTTGTCCAAGGTACATTGTAATGAATTATAATGAATTTCATCAAAGTATGTGAAGAGTATGTAATGATTGCCCAAGCCCAAAGAGATTATCACATGCGGTACGCAGGCTACACCTAAAGGCCGCCTCAGTCGTCGGACTCTTCATGCAGCGTACAAGGTAAACCTACCGACACAGGCTTTACTATTGCCTCTATTTTGGTTGGTATAACTTATGTTTTCAACGAAAACTAATTCCAACCGGTGTGATTATAACACCTCCAGCGCTGGCAGCGTCACACCATCAATTCCCAGGCAATTAAACATTGTGAAAAGTGAGCGGTGCCTGAGAACACACCCGCATCATCATCGCCTGAACTTAGAGGGGCTACTGAATTATTCATATGTAATAGACAGGTTTACTTCCTGCTTTCTATACATGCTCATAATTTCAAACTTCTGCACCACGTGATCACCAATCCTTGGATTATAAAATACACGGATAATAACGTGATCATTATACTTCTTCTCACTTTATAACACACTGATGACCACGTGATCACCAGCCCGTCTTATTTTATAATACACTGATGACCACGTGATCACCAGACCCTCTTACTTTATAACACACTGATGACCACGTGATGACCAGCCCATATCACTTTATAACACACTGATGATCACGTGATCACCAGTCCCTCTTACTTTATAACACACTGATGACCACGTGATCACCATGCAGCCCCTCTCACTTTATAATACACTGATGACCACGTAATCACCATGCAGCCCCTCTTACTGTATAACACACGATTGACCACGTGATCACCAGTCCCTCTTACTGTATAACACACTGATGACCACGTGATCACCAGCCCCACTTGCTTTATAACACACTGATGACCACGTGATCACCAGTCCCTCTTGCTTTATAACACACTGATGATCACGTGATCACCAGCCCCTCTCACTTTATAATACACTGATGACCACGTGATCACCATGCAGCCCCTCTCACTGTTTAACACACTGATGACCACGTGTTCACCAGTCCCTCTTACTGTATAACACACTGATGACCACGTGATCACCAGTCCCTCTTACTGTATAACACACTGATGACCACGTGATCACCAGTCCCTCTCACTTTATAATACACAAATAACCACGTGATCACCAGCCCCTCTGGTTTTACAATCAACTGATTACCACGCGATCACCAGCCCCAGTAACTATATACAATCAACCGATTATCACGTGATCACCAACCCCTCTGGTTATACATGACACTAATAACCACGTGACCTCAAGCCCCAGTAACTATACAATACACTGATGTCCACGTGACAACCAACTTAATATACAATACACTGATTACCACGTGATCACAATTAAGCATATCTGTTTTAACAATACACTGATTATCATGTTATCACCAGCTCCGTTTACGATACAAGTCCCTCTAAATATACAATACATTGAGTACTACGTGACCAACAGCCCCTCTAGCTATACCATATACTGATGACGACATGATCATCAGCCCCTTTTGGCAATACAATACACTGATGGCCACGTGATCAATAGCCACTCCGACTATACAATACACTGAAGACCACGTAAGCATCAGCCCACTCGGACTATACAATACACCAATGACCACGTGATCACCAGGCTCTCTGACTATACAATACACTGATTACCACGTGATCAATATTACATTGTATTAAAATCTCCATTTGCGATCGCATGGTAACTTGTCACTCGGAATAATCACAGTGATCACTACGATGACCCGGGTTCAGTGTATAATACACGAGTAAAGTCGTACCTAAAGACAGCATCAGAAACTTTTTCGACTAAATTATCAATAAAATTTTCCTTTTAACACAGCCTGATTGTTTTGACATCTATTTCTAGCACGTAATCACCACGAAACATCTTATATGGTCGACCCCAAGGTGTAATCGTGGCGTGAGGAGCCAGCGATAATTTGGAAACTTTGTTATACAGAGTTAATGAAGAGGATATCCTCTCTGATCCCTTCTATCATACGTGAGCAGTAAAACATCACAGGTGGGCAGTGTTTCGTGCTGGCCTGCTACCAAACAGTCGGAGAACACAACACCAACTTTAAAAGTGATGTAAAAATAGGGCCTATATTTAGCTGAGTGAAGCCGTAGACATTTGGGAAGGCAAAAACACGTTACGGAACACTGTTACCATGGTACCTAGTACTACAGACTTTACTGATACCAACGTTTTAAATACACCACACTACTGGCACCATGCTATTATATACACAAAACTATACAGATACCACGAAATGATATACACTCTACAAGAGAGATACCACGATGGTATATACAGCATTCTTCTTGTACTACGGCATTATAAACACAAAACTATACAGATACCACGTAACTATATACACTTTACCACGCTATTATATACATCACTTTACTTGTACTAATATACTATAACACTAAACTATAGATATGCCACAATGTTATATACACCAAACGATTCAGATACCACGATATCATATACAATTTACGATAGATATACCACGATATTATATACAGCACTTTTCTTGTACCACGATATTATAAATACTAAACTATAGATATATCACAATGTTATTATAATGCGATATTATATACATCGCCTTTAAATTAAACATGATGTTATATACACGACACTTAACATATTCCACGATATTATTTACAAATCGCTATAGAGATACCACAATATCACATCACACAATAGAGACACCGCGTTATTATAAACAGCACACTGCTACCAGTATGTATAACCTAATCTACACTGATATCACGATACTATATAATATAGAACGTCATATAGGCCTAGATCCACGATATTCTGTACATAATGTTATACAGATATCACAATATCACATACAGGCAGTACAAAGATACATCACGATATGAAATGTACCACATTTTATTGATATACGATGATATTCAACTAGCTTGACCGTATTAATACGATGTTACGCAAAAAACGCTAGACACTCTGACCCTATAATCTTGGACATGTTTCCGGTACGTGTGTAGCACAGATGTGTAGTACGTCATCATAACTTACCTAGCGTAACGTCTTCAAGCCAACACACGAGCCTCTATCACATCGTTCGGTTGTCAGTCAGTGTGTCAATCACATTAGCAGAATTCGACGTAATTTGTGTTAAATCTGTACATTCTCTACACTGCATACGTACGTACTCCGCGCCAGACTGCCGTGGTTGTTCTGCACCAGCATCAGCCTCTGAATCAATACTAATACTACAATAACAGTCGCCACTGGATCGAGTATGTTTCACTTTACCTTATTAATGTCAAGGCATGTGTGAGAGTACGTGCTGATGTACGTGATGTGACGTATCCAATGGTCAGTTGATCGCACGCGCGCCACTTATCGTCCTGGTGACACTCCACTCTGTGCTGTGTGTGGCCATGTTTTAGCAGAACGTCCTCACCGCCTTGTGATGAACGGTCCGTTCACATGTCGGCAGCGTTCAATGGGAAGAGTTTGTCATTGATGAAAATTATTCCGGGCCCAGAGCGAGGTGCTTACGTCATGGCGGTGACGGTGTGTTTACATGTGCTGGGAGACCTCGCAATCGATCGGGGTCCAGGTAAACACAACACTAGCTAGTTGCATGCTGTCGTCTCCGCCATTCCAACGCTGCCACCAAACTGTCACCGCCAAACCTAATAAAGACACAAAACACGACCGTGAAATACACTTGAATATGGTCACATGATCATTTAGGACATGTATGGCGGGAAATTAGTCACATGATCATTCGGGGCTTGTTTAACGGGAATGTAGTCACATGATCGTAAGGGGCGTAGGTGTGATAAAAGTGATCAATGCTGGGGTATGATATTAGAGCGTGGTATGATCACCTCATCATTCACGGCCTATGTTACCGGAAGTTGGTCAATAACTAACCAATAAGAACTAGTATACGCCTGTTAAACGACTGTAGCAGGAAATATATTGTTACACTAATCATGTTGTCAGGATGTTGGTTCAATAACAATTCTAATCAGGCAAAATATTTACGCCAAAATACATTACTATGAATTAGCCAACCTAATTCTCCAATCCTGGAAGTGCCTATCATTCCTATTGAGTACCAAAATTTGTGTTGAGCTCGTACAGCATTGAATACGCATTGCAAACTTGGTGGCGATGGAGCAGTGGCATATATCAGTTTATCCCAAGTAGACGCTTACTTAACAAAGCAGAGAGCTGGATGATTGCTTCTTGTGTAAACCTCAAATGACGGGTGTCTGCATCCCCTTATAACTATAGTCCATATCGAGAGCTACAAGTATCAAATGGAATGTGAATGTCAAATACTGAGATGGATTCTGGAGAAGACATTGCCATAAAATGCACAAAACGAGGAAATGCTGAACTGGATTCACTTTCATAGTGGATCATCATTAAATATAATATATCAGATCCCTCATTCAAAAAAGAATTAGCAAGTTTGTAATCAAAAATAAAATTAAAATTAAAACAAATTACAAATGTATGTCTCTAAACGTCGATGTCAAAACCACAATCAAGGATCTGCATAGATGTATACATGAAATTGTTTCAGTAGATGAAAGATCTAATCTCTTAATCCTTGTCTGCAAACACTTTTACATTTCCGGCTTTCCAAAGGAATTCGGCTTGCTTGATAACACAGGAAACCCTACATATATATTATCCTATATTTAGAAAGACAAACTATTAGCTAATCACCTTTCGGTATAACAATCTCCCCGAATACCGATTAATGATAATGACTTAGACCTGTCTCGTTTTGTACTGGATTCTAAAATATCACAAGAATCCTTATAAACAACGTTGATTTTATCGCTGATTATACGATTGCTAATTACTCTCATTCTTAGAACCATTAAATCATGGCTTCAAATGCGATGTGGTATTGTATACTCAATCTCATAAGTGGATGTGTGGATTTTGAAGAACTGCAAGATCTTTTGGTCCATTCGGAAAATTCTCTCTTCAAAAATGTTTCTTCTAATAAAGGTATCTGGCTTTTTTACTTTTTACATAGGCATTATGAGTGATTTGTTTTCCAAGAGGGTGAATGGTTTTATAGATATATCGCTGTCAAGTGTTTTAGAACATATTTTGAAAAAGCACGACAAAGTAAGTACATTACGAAAAATTTGAGTATCTTTCATATTTTCGTTTAGACAATTGGCATCCTTATCGGAACAATCTGTATCCCTCTTCTTACAAACTTAATTTTCGTTCCATATGAGGCTAGATTTCTTGTAGAACATATCAGTAATTGCAACATAAAACCTTGTCCATTCCTGCAATTTCTCTTTCAAAACGTCTCTTTCGACGTTTTGCTATCTTTAAATAACAAGAAAGTCTTATGTTGATCGTATAAACCTTCCTTAACCTGAAATCAAGCACACTTCTGAGTATTCTGCATTTTGTTCCGAAGTAGAAAAACAATGTGATTCTGTATACTATCCAAGCAAAATAGCGAACATGAAGATCGTCATAAGACGTAACGCAATGATGAAAGGAGGATATTGAAACCAGATTACACAATTTAGAACACGCAGAGATGATCAATGTCATGACGAAGATGACAAAATCCGTTTCAAAATGCCAAATACACAACATAAAAATGGAGAACAATGGCGGAGAGACAAGTCAACTGGAATACAACCAATCGCAAATGTTGTCGACGAAATGGGAAAGAAGGGAGAAAAATATTGTAATTCACGGTTTTGAGAAGGAAAAATCAAAACAAAAGGGAGATTTTTTGCAACAGGATTGTCCGAAGATCACCGGAGGAAATAAATATGCACTTTTACCTCGCGAATCACAATAACAAAAACACATAACATGATTCCAGAATCATTGATGACCTCATAAAAACCGACGAAATATTATTATTAATAAGAAAGAGACTATTGGAAAAGACAAAAAGAAAACGGAATCGGAAGGAATTCAATTTAAGTGTGTATTCCATAAAATGCCAACAAAGGGGGTGAACACTGAGGCAAGCTTGCTGGAATAGGAATGACATCTGATCTAGTGGGAATTATGTTCCGAATATAGAGTTTTTAGAGACCTACCTGGGACAACAAATAGGAAGAAGTATTACCGTACGTTAATAATGGGAGACTTCAATCCATCAGTCATCAACTGGGTCACGTGGGAGACGCATCAACCTCACAACAGTACAAGTTTATTGAATATAAATTTAGATAATTGCTTTCACCGACATTTAAATAAATCGACAAGAACGAGTGGGCAAGATACACATGATGGATAAATAAGACCTAGTGTTCAGTAACACGGGGAATATTATCTCAGAACTAAAGTATCTAATGATGTAGAACACAGTACCACAGGATATCTCATTTTGTTTGGTTTGCCTGACGCTTGAAGTCCTATTAACAGCTATGGTCATTTAAAGACGTGCGTGCCAGGTTTTGGTGGTGAAGGACAACCGGGGTGCCCGTTGAAACACATGGTAAAATGCCTTGACCAATCGGAAACCGTGGCCAAAGAAGTTTTAGTACAGCTGTCGACAGACCAATATACAGAATACATTACCACATAATAAGTAACTGTCGATAGACAATTACGAACCAACTGTACAGCAACGTAATCTTGATATCTGTTTAATATTTAATGAAAATAAATATGATGTAACGTTACATGCTTTCGCTGTAATTTCTTTTGTGTAGGGTCATTTGAGGGCATTTCTCGGTTAAAATGTTCACAGTAAAATCAGATTCAATAGGTTATTATATCATTGGGTTATAGACCATATCATATCATCCTTGTAAAACAAACCGATATCCCTCTTGCGTTGTAGTGAAAAGCGTCTCATTTATTAGCATTTTTCGTAAAAGTTCATTTTCTACATGTTTCAGGAGTTTCGGAGTTATATCTAGTTAAAATAATTATTGGTTGAGAATTGTCCCCCACAAGTCACTGTTGTTTGTCATGTGTATCTATCATTCGATTGTTTATTTATTGTTCAGATACAAAGGAATTGGCAACAGGCAAAGTCTATGAGCGCCCTCTCCTTACAGTTATAAATAGTTTACACACATCATATTGAATTGAAGTAATGATAAAACATGTATATTATATAAATTGATATTTGCATGCCATTATTATTTTTTTGAAAATTGTTGTTACAAATACTAGATTGTACAAAAAAAGGCAATTATAATTATGCTGGTGGACAGCTTATATAGCAATTATGTGCTGTTATAATTCCACGCAAAAAAAGTCATGTGAAAATAGATAATCAAGTAAGTGTAATTTGGTAAAAGCGTCTAGTATCTTTAATGAATCTCTGAAACATCTCCAAAATACTTATATTCATGTTGATATCGAGTCTTCGACATCCATAAGGAAAGGTCTGAGTAGTTAATGGAATAGTGTCATTAAGAGTAGAAAAAGAGCACTTAATTCACAAATTTGGAATATTGTCTCATGTTAAAAATTCCTTAGAGCGTAACAACTCTTCAGGTTGATTTTTATACATGTGCAATGGATCGAAAACAAACATAACACTGAATAACACCTGATTTATAATTTGAGGCAGACATATGAAAACTTTGTCGATTTAGATATACATTTATTAAATTCAATATCCATTTATAAGTCAGAATGTATGATATCCAACAAAATACGTTTTTCTTTCGAAAACATGAACATATTATATTTTCTGTTGTGTAACATATTATATTTAAAATGGCTTAATAATTCCGTCATATAATTCACGCATTACAACGTTTTTAGCGAATTTCATGAAGCCAATGGTGAAGCTTTTGGAACAAATATTTTCATTATATCGCAGAAAAATCAACTTTTCCTTTCATAATTGGTTTTCGTTTTTCGTTGAGCTTTTTTTTTTAAAAAGTGATAAATGATATACCGGGATTTGTTTGATTTTTTTTTGCAATTTAGTTCTTTATGGTACCTAAATTAATTGTTAAAGTTTAATTCCAAACTTAAGTCATATCTCGAAAATAAATTGTGCTACAGATGCGGGGATCAATAAAGAATCAATAAAGTTTATCTGTAAAGCTTTATGATAATTCCAACATCAAACGACAGATAAAACACAGAGATTCCGATTGGAGTTTTATTTTTCCTGTTGCATTTTTTACCAGGTTCAACATTTTTTAAGAATGTTCATATTGGTTATCTGTGGAAACAATCTTTTAAAAAAAGTATTTGACATCTATTGCACTTTTTATAAGGTGCAAAATAAAACACCTATTCTGATTTTTTTTATCATTTTTATCGGAACATTATTCAAAAATATGCGCAGGGCTCTAACGCAATGCTACAATGTTCTTCATGATGTCAAACACCTATCTGGAAAGAAAAAAACAACGAAAAGCTTAAGTTTCTCAAAAATTGTAGGAGATTTAATGGAGGTACGTTAGCGTTTTTACCTGATTTTCGTCAAAGAACTCAATTTTTGATATAAATGTCAGAATTGAAACTAATTTACGCATTCACCCATATGCAAAACAATTCCTAGAAGTTGTAAAAGGCAAAACTATTTCCAAACCTTTCAAAAGAAAAGGAGCTCTATCTGGGTTTTTTCCTGTTTTTAAAACAAACAAGACAAGAAGCCAGCATTCCTCCAACAACTTTTATTACGTTGTCGAGTGACCGACTTTGCTAA